TTGCAGCATGGACATCCCTCCCCTGAGGGGTGATTTCTCACTTTCTGTCTCTCTGTCTCTCTCTGTCTGGCGAGCGCATGCACCCTATAGCAAAAACCCCTCAAAAAAAAAAAAAAAAAATAGTGGTATGCGTGTGGTTTTGACCTGCATTTTCCTAATGATCAATGATCTTAAAGTTCTTTCCAAGTGATAGGGCTAGCAGCTGGCTTAATGGCTATGTCACTGGACTCCCATGTAGTCGACCGCGGTTCAAGTCCCGGACCCAGTGACTTAAACTCATGTCGGGTGCGTGTGCATGCATGCCCAAGATCCTGAGGGGAGAATGGAGGAGAAGGGATTGCAATGTGGCCATTCTCCCCAGGGGGTGATTTCTTGCTTTCAATATCTCTGTCTCTCTCTGTCTTTCTGGCGAGCGCATGCTCTCTATACCAAACACCTCTAAAAATGAACCCTAAACAAAAAAAGAAGAAAGTTATTTCCATGTGCTTTTTTGGAGAAATATCTGTTTAAATCCTTTGTCCATATTTGAATTGGATTTTATTTTTATTTATTTATTTTTTAGAGAGATATTTTTGTTATAGGGCATGTGTGCTCACTGAAGAGACATAGAGACAGATAGCAAGAAATCACCCCCTAGGAGTGATGGCCACAACACCATCCCCTCTCCTCCATTCCCCTCTCAGGATCTTGGGTGAGCATACACATACGCCCAGTGTGAGTTTGAAGCCACGGAGTCTGCAACTCGAACTGTGGTCGCCTATGTGGAGTCCAACTACATAATCATTACACCATCTGCTGGTCCTTATTTTCTTTGTTTTTTTACTTTTAAGAGTTTTTTAATATATATATTTTGAATATTTATCTCTTAACAGACATATTATGAATTTTTCTTTTCCATCTGATTTTGGAACTTTTCTCCCTTGTAAAATGTTGAGATACAAAGTATTTCCAAATGGAACTTTTTTTTTTGCTATTGGGCATGTGTGCTCATTAGAGACAAAGAGAGAGAGAGATTTGGAGAGAATAAAAGTGGAAAATCTCTCCCCAAGGAGGATGGCCACGCCACAATCCCTTCTCCTGCATTCTCTCTTGGCATTTTGGGCATCTATGCACCTGTGCCCAGCGTGAGTTTTAAGCCACCAGGTCCAAGGATTGAACTGCAGAGTCAACCATGTGGGATGTAGTTACTTAACCTCCATGCCACCTGCTGGCTCCCCAAACTGGACTTTTACTTGAGTGATTTATACTCTAAGTGTATAATTAAATTATACAACCAAAAGTTAGTCATCTTAAATGTTAGTTTAATGTTACAAATACAAGTACAGCAAATAATATAATAAAGATTAGAATTGTCAGGGCCAGCAAGTGGTGTGGTGGTTAAGGCTCTGGACTCCCACGTTGCAAACCGTGGTTCAAGTCCTGGACCTGGCAGCTTGCTTTCTCACTTTCTCTCTCTCTCTCTCTCCCAGATCTGGTGGCTTGCTTGCTCTCTCTCTGAAGTGCATGTGCTTTAAAGCAAATTAAAAAAAAAATAATAAAATAAACATTCTTTAAAAAAAGTTTAGACTTGTCGTAAAATCAAATGCTTATTTTTCTGCTTAATAGTCTCATTTAAATCTTTTTCTTCTTCTTTTTTAATGAGAAAGAAACACCCTCAACAGGATCCGGTCACACTGTGGTCCCCTTTCCTCAGCCCTCCCGCTCCTCAGGACCCTGGGTGCCCAAACTCAGTGTACTTTCCAGCCAACCTGGGGACCCGGGGATCCAAACCTGAGGTCAGCCATTTGGCTTCCAGTCTTGCAGGGCAGTTGTACGTAGCTGCTGAGCCATTTGATCTTTATTTTATTGTCGTAAAAGACACATTGTTCTCACGTGATCTACCTAACAATTCTCTCTTAACCATCCATCAGCTTCCCCAGTTATCTGTTATGATGCTCTTAATAATGTTTTGGTACATAAAATAAATGCCTTTCATGAGCACCGTTAATCATTGCAGCATTTCCCTCCAACAATAATTACACATTTACACTTCGATTGACTGATAGGACTCCAGAACTACAGCATGTAAGGACACTCGTCACTCCTCTCACGCCAGCACGCTGCACGCCACTTGAACGTGACAGTTCAGCCGCGAGTGCTGACAGGCTGGCGTGCCTCACCGGAAGACGTCGGGATGGTGTTGAGGCTCCGTATCATTGCCACCAGTGTGACCAGTCAGTGGCTGAGGTCGCTCCTTCCAAAGACTGAAGATGGAGCTGAAGAGCAGATTTCCCTGGACGCTGAGACGGAGTCGAATGTTGGTGTCGGCTCAGCGCAGCACATGGGAAGAACAGGAAGGAGCTTTGGGAAGGTGCTCTGTTTTGTTGCTTTTGTCAATGTTATTTATTGTCGTAGGGTGTATGTGCTCTCTGGAGAGAGAAAGAGAGACAGAGAGGGAAAGTGAGAAATCACTCCCCCCCCAACCCAGGGGGATGGCCACACCGTAATCCCTTCTTCTCCATTCTCCTCTTGGGATTTTAGGCATGCACATACATGGGCAGGTATGATTTTTAAGCTGTTGAGATCAAGGCTCAAACTATGGAGTCGGTCATGTAGGATCCAGGGCTTAACCACCATGACACCTGCCAGCCCAGGGAAGGTGCTTTGGAACCAGATCTCAGAATGCCAGGCTGAAGTGTTCGAACTTTACCCCCTGGTGGGACAGCAGGTACCCCTGCAGACTCTTGGCAGGTGGAGGGTGGGCAGGGTGGCCCTGGGGCTCTTGCTATTTGACTTTGTCTTTTCTTGCCAGACCATGGGAATCATCTTGTCAGAGGCCGTGGGAGATGAGCTGGTGCTTAGGAAACCACTCATGCCGACAGGTGAACAGGGCCGCCTTCGCAGCCAGGTCCTAGGGGGCTCTCTGTGTCACGGTGTTGCTGCAGCCCTGCTTCTTAGTACTGAGGCAGCCTCATCCAGGGTCTGGCCTCTGTCCCCAGAGAGCAGAGAAGAATGGGCTGATGCAGACTCTCTTTGTACAACGTTCAAGACATAAAAAGATAGACCCTTCCAAACATGTCTGCCTCCTACGCCTGTCTCCAGAACTATGAGAAATAAACTTCTGTTCTCTTTAAACTACCTGGTCTTGGGAACCAGCAGTTAGCGTAATGGCTACGTCGCTGGACTCCCACGTAGTCGACTGCGGTTCTCATCCCAGACCCGGTGGCTTAAAACTCATGCCGGGCGCGTGTGCGTGCGTGCCCAAGATCCCGAGAGGAGAATGGAGGAGAAGGGATTGCGGTGTGACCATCCTCCCTGGGGGGTGATTTCTTGCTTTCTGTCTCTATGTCTCTCTCTGTCTGTCTGGTGAGCGCACGCGCCCTATAGCGAAAACCTCTCCAAAAAAAAAAAAAACAAAAAACTACCCGGTCTATGGTATCCTGTTATGTAGTAGCACAAAGTGGGCTAAGATGGTTTCCTTATGAGGGTTTTCCTGTCATGTACAACTTTTGTTAAATACATTTATATGCTTTTCTCTTGTTAATCACTGTCATTTTACTCCTCAGGCTCAGGTGAAAAATCCTGAGGACAGAGATGAAATTTCGTCTCTCTTACAAAGGGAAGGCTATGTGATGATAGGGGCAGAGATCTGAATGAAGCAGCTACAGGCCAAG